TCGGTGCTATAAGACGTATTAGGCCCTTCGTATCGTCTGCGACACTAAAATTGATGTACAATGCTATTGTGCAGCCCTACTTTGATTACTGCAGCCCTCTCTGGGACAACTGTGGAATAGGCCTCAAGGACAGGTTGCAGAAATTTCAAAATTGGGCTGCAAGAGTAATTTCTAGTGCGACTTACGATGTTCGGTCGGTTGATTTACTTGAAAGCCTGGGTTGGAAACACCTAGAACTAAGGCGAACTTATCTAAAATCTGTTTTCATGTATAAAATTCTGAATAACCACACCGCACCAAATCTAACAACATCCTTTCGATTGAATAATGAATGTGATAATACCTATGATCTTAGAAATAGAGAAACCGATTTGTCTCTTCCTAAACCGAATACCGATTCTGGTAAAAGATGCTTCAAATATAACGGAGCGGTAGTATGGAATAATTTACCGTATGAGGTAAAAGTAGCGGAATCTTTAAGTTCTTTTCAAAGAACTATTAATCAGGCAAACACTTAAAATTGGCTCGTCCTGTTGCCTACCGTATATGTAATTCTTCTTTCTTTGTTTTTGTATTTTTAATGTTTACCTGTACTGTATATTTCTCCAAATCACGCCCCTCATGGAAATCAGCTCCTAGTTGTTGAGGCCAGCGTGCTTAAATAAATTTTTGTATGTATGTATGTATCTATATCCGAATGATCAGATATGGCGCAATGGAGAGGGACGGACAGGAGATGTTGTCCCACAGCATTGAAATTTGCGTTTTTAAAGTCGTATATTGTTCGTCTTACCACTTTTGCTCTTTGAAACTTTGAAAACAAATTTGATGTCGAATTCGATAAGGTAATGATCAGATGGAAATTAGTTGGATTTATACAGTTGACATTAGTGATGAGCTCCGGAATATTGCAGAAAACACAATCCAGTTTGTTGCCACGCAGATGTGTCGGACCATCGGCCATTTGACACAGGAACTCGGTACAGGTCTGTAATAATCTCGCAGGCGCTTTGAAACCGCCTTCAGAATTTGAATCAATGTT